ACAGCTGGTTTAACGAGTGAAGCAGTAGGAAGTGGCTGCACAGACTTGACCCATGTCAGGTCAGGCTGGCAGTCGATAGAGGCAGTGGTGACAGGAGGACGAGAGACAGCAGCAGAGTAAGAGATAGAAGAAGTGGTTGCAGTAGTACCTACAATCCTCTTCTTAGCTTCATAGTAGGAGAGGTTTTGTTCAGTCTTGGTTTTCATTATCTGTAATTCATGTTGCCAGACAGGGCAGGATTTGGAAGATGCCATACGGTTCCCACCACAGTTTGAACACTTCACATCCTTCCTGCAGTCAGTGGCCTCGTGTTTGTCACCACAGCGGTAACAGACAGCAGAGGCACGGCAGGACTTGGATCCATGTCCAAATATTGGCAGGCGTAGCACCGGAGTGAATTGGGGATATACACCTCCACTCCGCTGTTACACTAACCGGCTTTGATCGATTGTGGAATCTTCGAACGGGTATGTGAAGAAATAGGTGTTGGTCTCTACAACCACACAATCCTTTTTGACCGTAAATCGTTTAACAGCTGTGACAGACTGTTGGACAAGTTCTTTGACTATTTCAACCTCAGTCATGCCGGACAGGCAGCGAGCCCTGTCACGGACAATTCCCTTGCATGAGTTCAGTGTCCTGTGTTCAGAGACAGCAACCTTGATATTTACAAACTCTTTCAAACCAAGGAGATTGATGGATTGCTGTCTCTGTGCACATTCCACAAGGAGAGAACCGGATCGAAGCTTGGTGACATTTGTAACCTTTCCACAGGCACTAGCGATACCTTTGGAGATTGCAAACGGATTTAGTTTTATTGGTTCTTTGTCACAAGCTTCGATAATCAAAAAACGTGGCCAATAGTCAGATTGGTTGGTGGTATTTCCGTCAGGTGAATTGTCAGATTCAATGTTGAAGGGTGTTGAAGCCATGTCGAAAGGAAAATGATTCGGCACCCCTTTTCCCCACCCACCATGGAGTGTCTACAAGGACAGTCTTATGCTGCAGCGGATTTCCAAGCTGCAAAGACTGGGGATAAAGCGGTGATATACTCCAGCAAATTTGACACGAAGAGCTATAGCATTCTACCAAATTAAAGGTCAGGCTGGTTCGGCCCATGACAATCAATTTGAGATGTACAGAATTCGGAGGTCAGCATCACCAGATTGGCCCATGAATCACCGCCTTCTGGGCATAGGGCTCTAAGCAAGTTTTATAGATTGTTAGATATGATATACATTTAGGTTAAAAATTTATTTTTTTTAACATCAAAAGTGTGCGTGAAATATCTTATGCACAGGGCATGACATGACCAGCCGATTGATAGAATCGGGCCCATTCTACCGCCCGTCTAGGCAAAGTTAGGGTCGAAGTGGTGTGTTGGACTAAGGAGCACTATTGCCGGCTCCGGCTCCGTCGCCCTCAACCACCAGAATCCCTTCCTCTGCCGACACAGGGTCGCAGCCCACGGCAAATAGGCTGCCCAATTCGGTCTCCTTTTACGACCAGCATTGGGGGGCTGAGGACCCATTCTTGTTTATCTTCCCCCGGTCCCCACGGGGATACTGTCTGGTGTATGTGGTGTACTGTGTCTGGTCTACGTGGTGCCACATGTCTGGTGCACGTGGCGTACTGTGTCTGGTCTACGTGGTGTCACGTGTCTGGTGTACGTGGTGTACTGTGTCTGGTGTACGTGGTGCTACGTGTCTGGTGTACTGTGTCTGGTGTATGTGGTGTACTGTGTCTGGTGTTCATTGTGCCACGTGTCTGGTGTACGTGGTGTACTGTGTCTGGTGTACGTGGTGTACTGTGTCTGGTGTACATGGTGCCATGTGTCTGGTGTACATGGTGTATATTGTCTGGTGTATGTGGTGTACTGTGTCTGGTGTACGTGGTGTCACGTGTCTGGTGTACGTGGTGTACTGCGTCTGGTGTACGTGGTGCCACATGTCTGGTGTACATGGTGTACTGTGTACTGTATCTGGTGTACATAGTGCCACGTGTCTGGTGTACGTGGTGTACTGTGTCTGGTGTGTGTGGTGCCATGTGTCTGGTGTACGTGGTGTCACGTGTCTGGTGTACGTGGTGTACTGTGTCTGGTGTACGTAGTGTACTGTGTCTGGTGTACGTGGTGTACGTGGTGTACTTTGTCTGGTGTACGTGGTGTACTGTTTCTGGTGTACATGGTGTACTGTGTCTGGTGTACATGGTGTATTGTGTCTGGTGTACGTGGTGTAGGTGAGGTGAAATGGGGTTTAACATCGCGTCCAAGATTATTGCACTTATATAGCGATGTGCATGCACGCGTATGTGTGTGTGTGTGGCTGCTTGTACTAGTTCAGACTGATGCTAGCACACTGAGATACCATGCCGCAGTTTAACATGAATACCCCACTCAGACACAGTATACTGACTCCGAGCCGACCAGTCCTTGTTTGAGCCCCTTAGTGCCGAGCACCAGACAGGGTAACAACAAGTACCATCTTTAAGTGTCTTTTGGTACTACGCGGCTGGGGATCGAACCCTGGACCTTCCGCTCTCCGGGCAGACGCTCTACCATTAGACCACGGAGGCGGTCGTGCGTGGTGTAACTGTGTCTGGTGTACTTAGTGTACTGTGTCTGGTGTATGTGGTGCAAAGTGTCTGGTGTACGTGATGCCACGTGTCAAGTGTACGTGGTGTACTGTGTCTGGTGTACGTGGTGTACTATGTCTGGTGTACGTGGTGCCACGTGTCTGGTGTACGTGGTGCCATGTGTCTGGTGTACATGGTGTCTGGTGTACGTGGTGTACGTGGTGCCATGTGTTGGTGTACGTGGTGTACTGTGTCTGGTGTATGTGGTGCCATGTGTCTGGTTTATGTGGTGTACTGTGTCTGGTGTACGTGGTGCCATGTGTCTGGTGTACGTGGTGCCATGTGTCTGGTGTATGTGGTGTACTGTGTCTGGTGTACGTGGTGCCACGTGTCTGGTGTACGTGATGTACTGTGTCTGGTATATGTGGTGCCATGTGTCTGGTGTACGTGGTGCAACGTGTCTGGTGTATGTGGTGTACTGTGTCTGGTGTACATGGTGCCATGTGTCTGGTGTACGTGGTGCCATGTGTCTGGTGTATGTGGTGCCATGTGTCTGGTGTATGTGGTGCCATGTGTCTGGTGTACGTGGTGCCATGTGTCTGGTGTACGTGGTGCCATGTGTCTGGTGTATGTGGTGTACTGTGTCTGGTGTACGTGGTGCCACGTGTCTGGTGTACGTGATGTACTGTGTCTGGTATATGTGGTGCCATGTGTCTGGTGTACGTGGTGCAACGTGTCTGGTGTATGTGGTGTACTGTGTCTGGTGTACATGGTGCCATGTGTCTGGTGTACGTGGTGCCATGTGTCTGGTGTATGTGGTGCCATGTGTCTGGTGTATGTGGTGCCATGTGTCTGGTGTACGTGGTGCCATGTGTCTGGTGTATGTGATGTGCTCTGCCTGATGTATTTGGTATTGTATGATCCCCAATGTTGATTAAGTAGAATGTTGAGTTAATTTGCCAAATGATCCAGTTTGAGGAAGAAACTGCTTACAAAGAAACATTTCCTTTCACAGCAATGCATGATTCTAACCAAACTCAGAACGCAGAATTCTAAAATGTCCCTGTAAAGTGCTTCCTCCTGATGACACCAAGGAGTGAAACAAATTGTCAATAATGGGCGTCCATTCATCTTTAGCACTGTTGGTATTTTTTATTCTTTCGGCATATATTCATAAAGTGAGTGTTACATTACTTATAATTTTCAAATATGGAATCTGTATTTCGGTACCTGATGTTATCTAGAGCACTTGTTTAGACGGAGAAGAGACAAATTCTTGCCAACCAGAAACCAGTAAATGATTATCACAATGCTGTTTCCCATCCAGTTGGACTGTGAATTATGTAAATGGAAATGTACAGATGTGAAATGAATGCAATGTCGTTTGTGTAGCATTAACAGAACACTTTTAGACTGACCTCTTCCTGACGTATCGATATGGATGCTGAGCATCAGCAGTCAGTCAAAATATCAGCCAATGAAAACATTTGTCACACCCCATTGCTCTGATAGCTTCAGGCAACGCATCCAAATAGTTTTGTTTTGGAGTCTGATTATGGAGCGTGTGATTCCAGCACTTTCACTTGGACATTTCAATACTTTCTACAAATGTGAGGATATCTTTGTCCTCTTGGGACCTGACTTAAGGCATCTATGAAAATTGATATACGCAACAAAATCGCAATCATTTTTTTCACTCTACTTGCCCTTTAAGCATAATATGTAGCAGAGGACAACACAGTATTACATCAGAACTACTACAACACTCCAGAGATATAATATGTAGCAGAGGACAACACAATATTACAACAGAACTACTACAACACTCCAGAGATATAATATGTAGCAGAGGACAACACAATATTACAACAGAACTACTACAACACTCCAGAGATATAATATGTAGCAGAGGACAACACAATATTACAACAGAACTACTACAACACTCCAGAGATATAATATGTAGCAGAGGACAACACAATATTACAACAGAACTACTACAACACTCCAGAGATATAATATGTAGCAGAGGACAACACAATATTACAACAGAACTACTACAACACTCCAGAGATATAATATGTAGCAGAGGACAACACAATATTACAACAGAACTACTACAACACTCCAGAGATATAATATGTAGCAGAGGACAACACAATATTACAACAGAACTACTACAACACTCCAGAGATATAATATGTAGCAGAGGACAACACAATATTACAACAGAACTACTACAACACTCCAGAGACTTAATCTCACCAACACTTGTTCTATCCAGTGAAAATTACGAGGAATAGTATAAGGCAATTATATGACCGCCTCATAAAAATGATCAGTGATTGACGTAAACAACTAGAGAGGAATAACATTACTACCGGTTATTGAAAAGGTTTTTCACTAGAATACGTAACGAGACATAATGAAAAATAACATCCAGCTTTAATTGCCTGTAGCTTTATACATTCCTTGTGTACAATACAAAGATGACACAACTTAGTCTTTTCTTTTTTTCTTTTTCTTCTTAGGGTGGTGTGATTCACAAGATTGTTCTTCTCCTTCCAACTCCTTCACTTTCTTACACTTCTTTCTCTTCCTCCTCCCCTCGGATGGACTCTCACCATCACTCTGGCTGTCCTCGTGGACTGGCGGGCCAGTCTCTCCTGCTGGATATCTCCTCTTCCTTTCATCACACTCACTCAGTCCACTGTTCTCCTGCAATGGCAATTCAATCTCATCGTCAAAATGCTTCTCCTTCTTTCTCTTCTTCTTCTTCCCAACACTCTCAGCTGCACTACTGTTCTCTTGCAATGGTGATTCAACCTCTCCCTCTATATGCTTCTCCTTCTTTCTCTTCTTCTTCTTCCCAACACTCTCAGCTGCACTACTGTTCTCTTGCAATGGTGATTCAACCTCTCCCTCTATATGCTTCTCCTTCTTTCTCTTCTTCTTCTTCCCAACACTCTCAGCTGCACTACTGTTCTCTTGCAATGGTGATTCAACCTCTCCCTCTATATGCTTCTCCTTCTTCCTCTTCTTCTTCTTCTCAACACCCTCAGTTCCTTGACTGTTCTCCTCCAATGACAATTCAATCTCTTCACCTACATGTTTGTTCTTCTTCCTCCCCTCCTGTGGTGCTGTGTCTTGCCCCTGGAGGCGGCCTGTGTTGCCTGCTGCCTCAGGTAGTCGCGCAGCCTTCATCTGCAGCATCAGCTGTTCCTCCATAGCCTGGACCCGCTGCAGCTTCCCGTTCAGCTTCAGCCCATGACGAGCCCCTCTGTAACACACACCTACATGCTCAAATGGGTCCTTCACCAACTTTGTAACGTTTGTTTCTTTTTTAATGCCACGTTCGGCAGTTTTTCAGCTAGATGATATCAGCCTGTAAATAATCAAGTCTGGATCTGAAAGTTCAGTGATTTTGAGAGCATTCATCCATCCCATGGGGGTACGATGACATGTTATCAACCAAGTACCCGAGTCTGACCACCTGATCCACTTGGTCACCTACTCTAACCTGGAAAACCCAGGAATTCCCTGGGGGAACTTTGTAATGATGAAGAGATTAATGACTGCTTGACTGGAGATTAACGTCGCTTTGAACATCATTTCAGTCAAATAACACCAGCATGTCAGTGATGCATGTCTTAGATATGAAGCACTTTGGTGAAACCCATTAGCATGGTGCTGACAAACCAGGAACCCTTTTCAGGGAAGATCAGGGATTCAAACCAATGATCATGGGATTTTGTCGTGCCTTAAAGATGCAACAGTGCACAGCGAGTGGCAACACTTTAGATGTCTGAGCCACCCTTGCCCCTGGATTTAAAGATACTTTCCAGCAGATATTTGTTCATGTACAGATAAACAGGCATATTCCTCTATTCATCATTATTAGTTGTTAGGAAGATAGACAAAGAAGTGGTTATGGTGCAACATCAGACTTGCATTCGTTATGTGACAGAGTTTTGTATTTGATCAAAAGGTTTAATGTAAACAGAAATACACCAGCTGTCTTCAGTTTTGTATGAAATCGATAGATAGTACTGCACAAAGGGTTCTTACTGATGTACTTACTTGTGGGCTGTGTGTCCCTGATGTTGCACAAGCCAAGTCATGTTCTTACTTGTGGGCTGTGTGTCCCTGATGTTGCACCAGCCAAGTCATGTACTCACTTGTGGGCTGTGTGTCCCTGATGTTGCACCAGCCAAGTCATGTACTCACTTGTGGGATGTGTGTCCCTGATGTTGCACCAGCCAAGTCATGTACTCACTTGTGGGATGTGTGTCCCTGATGTTGCACCAGCCAAGTCATGTACTTACTTGTGGGCTGTGTGTCCCTGATGTTGCACCAGCCAAGTGATGTACTTACTTGTGGGCTGTGTGTCCCTGATGTTGCACCAGCCAAGTCATGTACTTACTTGTGGGCTGTGTGTCCCTGATGTTGCACCAGCAGAGTGATGTTCTTACTTGTGGGCTGTGTGTCCCTGATGTTGCACCAGCCAAGTCATGTACTCACTTGTGGGCTGTGTGTCCCTGATGTTGCACCAGCAGAGTGATGTTCTTACTTGTGGGCTGTGTGTCCATGATGTTGCACCAGCAGAGTGATGTTCTTACTTGTGGGCTGTGTGTCCCTGATGTTGCACCAGCAGAGTGATGTTCTTACTTGTGGGCTGTGTGTCCCTGATGTTGCACAAGCAGAGTGATGTTCTTACTTGTGGGCTGTGTGTCCCTGATGTTGCACCAGCCAAGTCATGTACTTACTTGTGGGCTGTGTGTCCCTGATGTTGCACCAGCAGAGTGATGTTCTTACTTGTGGGCTGTGTGTCCCTGATGTTGCACCAGCAGAGTGATGTTCTTACTTGTGGGCTGTGTGTCCCTGATGTTGCACCAGCAGAGTGATGTTCTTAATTGTGGTCTGTGTGGACCTGATGTTGCACCAGCAGAGTGATGTTCTTACTTGTGGGCTGTGTGTCCCTGATGTTGCACCAGCAGAGTGATGTTCTTACTTGTGGGCTGTGTGTCCCTGATGTTGCACCAGCCAAGTCATGTACTCACTTGTGGGCTGTGTGTCCCTGATGTTGCACCAGCAGAGTGATGTTCTTACTTGTGGGCTGTGTGTCCCTGATGTTGCACCAGCCAAGTGATGAACTTACTTGTGGGCTGTGTGTCCCTGATGTTGCACCAGCCAAGTCATGTTCTTACTTGTGGGCTGTGTGTCCCTGATGTTGCACCAGCCAAGTGATGTACTTACTTGTGGGCTGTGTGTCCCTGATGTTGCACCAGCCAAGTCATGTACTTACTTGTGGGCTGTGTGTCCCTGATGTTGCACCAGCCAAGTCATGTTCTTACTTGTGGGCTGTGTGTCCCTGATGTTGCACCAGCCAAGTCATGTACTTACTTGTGGGCTGTGTGTCCCTGATGTTGCACCAGCCAAGTGATGTACTTACTTGTGGGCTGTGTGTCCCTGATGTTGCACCAGCAGAGTGATGTTCTTACTTGTGGTCTGTGTGTCCCTGATGTTGCACCAGCAGAGTGATGTACTTACTTATGGGCTGTGCGTCCACCACACCGCTCAAACACCTCCTCCTCAGATGGCCTGCAACAAAACCAGGAACAAGTGTCTATGACCCAAAAGTCAAGCATAGCCATGCCGACAGCAGCTTTTTTAAAGTGTCTATTTTTAACTTATCCTGCATTACTCCTAAAAGCATTCACTGTGCACCTTGCGACAAAGAAACAGACAGCATACCGGCGATGGTCCTCGGCGAAGAAATAATAAACTGTCCCAATTTTCACACCTACCGCCACTGTCCTGTGACCAATGTCATCTCTTCACATCACTGCCTGTCGCCTGAGCTGAAGAAAGACATACTTTTGAGGTTTCTAAAGCCAAAGTGGGGAGGCAAGTCTGCGACGGTTGGGCCTTAAATGTAGTAATGCAGGATAAGTATACAAATGTAAGAAATATTAAGATTTACTAAATTTTTTACTTATCCTGCATTACTCCTTAATGCATCTGTATCAGAAAATACAGACACCCCAATAATTCAAACCCTGAAGGTATGACACCAATTGGTCCATAAACCGTGAAGCGGAAAAGTTCAGAAAAACTCCATTATGGTCGGGTTATTTAAATGTGAAAAACAATTGAACAGAGGAATTAAAGAGTAGCTCCCTATACATCTTACTAATGAAGGCAAATAGGAATGGCTCTGTATAGGGCAAGTTCATTATTTGCGTCAGGGGTTGGTAACCTGCTGGGCTACAACCAACGGCCCAAAACCAGGTACACATTCAACAACCTCGAGAGTCACATCGCGAAGATAGGAGACGTAGGATGTGTGCCTATAGTATCTTTTTTATCCACCCCGTTACCCGGGGAAGGCACTGAGATGAGGCGGTAAGCTACCCAATCAGGTACTTGTGCCAAACCAAGGTGAGTATTCCATTCTGTCGAAGAATCTCCCTCTTCACCATTAGAGTAGTCCGACGAATCAGAACGATGTTGGCGTGTGCGTGAACAATGATGGTGAACAACTTCTACTCCGATATGTAGTACTATCTCTGACCGAGGGCTTACATGAACTGCCTGGTGAATAGGAGTCATGCGTCGATGTCCAAGTACACGCAGGCATCCTGGTACTACTCCTGTATGCTTGTACAGTGCTACAACGCTACCTTCGGGGTCCAAATAATTGATGAGCGTTATAGATGATCAGCGGTTTAACAAAGGTCGAGTCGTAGGTGGTAGATGACCAACATAACAGTATACATGCTCTGCCTACCTAACACGATCTACGTTGCACGTTTCAGAAGTTATTTATGATTCATAGTGTAAAAAAAGAATTGATCGAGTATTAATCTGTGCTTTAAAAACACATCGTATCCCTTCAGGTGAATAAGCAGGTAGATCTATAACAAACTTGGACAATAAAAGTATGAAATTTGATATAAAACATCACTAGACATGTTAAAATGTATTTCCTGCTCTCAAAGGTATTGTTTTATATGCAGAGATTAAGATTACCGTGTGTATTTTCTCGTAAACTAAGCCGGAAATAGCAATCAGCTGTGCACGCGTTTCCTCCCAATCTATCGGTGATTCAGTTAAAACGTACCCAGTGATACCACTTTAAAGAAATCTGATGCAATGGTCAGAAAAAATTGTATCTGAAATTATTATTTTATCAGTAATAATATATTCCAATATCGTGTTATATTAGTTGCAGCTTACACCATATATACTTATAATTATAAGTACAGATGGTATGCAGGATATTTTTGGACGTATGGAATGATTTTGACCAGTCACCGTAGGGACTTCCCGCGCTGCATGTATTTCGATTGGGAAAACGCTATGTTGACATTTAATAGTCAAACTGCCTCAAATATGACTTTTAGCAAGTCATGGTGCAGCCTTTATGATATGTGTATCCATTCTCTTGCAACTAAAGTTCGTTTCAAGGCGTCAATACCGGTAATCTGACCGTGGTTGCTGTAAATAACGGTTAGTTGTGCGATTTACCGATCACTTCACATACGATTATTGTAAACATTATTATAATTATTGAATGAAATTTTGAATATAATTAAAAAAATAAATTGCAAACATTAATCCAGAGAAACAATAAACAATTTTTTTTATTACCAGATATTATAATAATAGCATCAAATTGCGTACTTCAGTTCGGATTTGTTGACTGGTATTTCCGGTGTTACGTGATTGCGGTGATCAGCTGATAATGTTTTCTGAGATGGGGGAATTTAGCATCGCGTCATTGGAAAACTTGAGTTTCTTGAAAATGTTAGTAAATTTTGGGAGCCATGCTTTACCGCACGATATAACCGAGTTAGCGCTATATTGAAGGGTGCAATAACGAGGGAACACTGTATGTGGCTTGGGTTTGCACAACCCCCATCAAAGCATCTTGAGACGCTGGCACAGTCTTCGCAGATCTAGCAGATGTAGATTTCAAAATTTGGGTCAGTTATGATACTCACAGGATCCTCTGGATTTGAGGTTTTCGGTGGAGCGTGCACTTCAGCAGTGACAGTAACAGACAATATATTACTTGTTGAAGATAATGGTTGCATAGTAATGACCGAACCATATCCCTCGCTAATCAGCGATTGTGACATCTTCCTAGTCTCATGACGGAATTGCAGGAAATGCCTCTGTGAGTGACCTGCCTATACGTCGTAACACTCGCTGGAGAGGGATTTATGCAAAAAACACATTTAGAGTTTGATCCACAAACTTGTGTGAATTCCAGACAAGGTGGATGAGGATCTTTAGCAGATGTCTTTCCACGACAATTAGTACAACACGCAAGCATAAGTTACGCAATGTAGAGACTTTTGATAAAGCGGGACTGGAAATCTGCTGTAGAAATCTAATTTATCTATTGGCAAATTTTTGTAACGAGTTGAAAGTGTATTCAATAATATGTATATACACAACTCAACGCTAGTAGTATTTAAAAACACATAAATATATTATACGTACATAGCTGAGAATTGTAAACAAATTGACTACCTTAGCAGGCAAACAATTGTAACAGACAGATTCTTTTTACTCCTATTAAACATCTACAACTTCACAACATGTTTGAGAGTAATATGAAAGGAATACATCACCTGTTGCAGATGAATTTTAGAATTGTAGTCGAAAACCAAAGGTCTAAATAAATCCAAAACGAGAGCTCCGCTGGTATACGTCCATGTTGTAGGCGACCAAGGGTCACAGAGGTCACAGGACAGCGGCGGTGGGTGGGAAAAGTGGGACTTCGAACAGTTTATTATTTCTTCGCCCAGGACCATCGCCGGTACGCTGTCTGTTTCTTTCTTGCAAGGTGCACAGTGAATGCTTTAAGGTGTAATGCAGGATAAGTAAAAAATGGACAATTTAAAAAAGTTGCTGTCAGCATGGATATTCAAATAATTTCAACCATGTGAAAAGTTTGGTTTGAACCTCTTGAATAATTGCGGTGTCATCATTGGTGAGAAAAAGTATGTCAGCGTTCAGCTTCATTGCCTAGACACAGGCATATCATATGGCCTGGACACAAGGTGGTATATCACTACATATGGCCTGGACACAAGGTGGTATATCACTCCATATAGCCTGGACACAAGGTGGTATATCACTACATATAGCCTGGACACAAAGTGGTATATCACTACATATGGCCTGGACACAAGGTGGTATATCACTACATATAGCCTGGACACAAGGTGGTATATCACTACATTTAGCCTGGACACAAGGTGGTATATCACTACATTTAGCCTGGACACAAAGTGGTATATCACTACATATGGCCTGGACAAGGTGGTATATCACTACATATAGCCTGGACACAAGGTGGTATATCACTACATTTAGCCTGGACACAAGGTGGTATATCACTACATATGGCCTGGACACAAGGTGGTATATCACTACATATAGCCTGGACACAAGGTGGTATATCACTACATATAGCCTGGACACAAGGTGGTATATCACTACATATAGCCTGGACACAAGGTCGTATATCACAACATATGGCCTGGACACAAGGTGGTATATCACTACATATAGCCTGGACACAAGGTGGTATATCACTACATATAGCCTGGACACAAGGTGGTATATCACTACATATGGCCTGGACACAAGGTGGTATATCACTACATATAGCCTGGACACAAGGTGGTATATCACTACATATGGCCTGGACACAAGGTGGTATATCACTACATATGGCCTGGACACAAGGTGGTATATCACTACATATGGCCTGGACACAAGGTGGTATATCACTACATTTAGCCTGGACACAAGGTGGTATATCACTACATATGGCCTGGACACAAGGTAGTATATCACTACATATGGCCTGGACACAAGGTGGTATATCACTACATATGGCCTGGACACAAGGTGGTATATCACTACATATGGCCTGGACACAAGGTGGTATATCACTACATATGGCCTGGACACAAGGTGGTATATCACTACATATGGCCTGCACACAGGTGTATATCACTACATATAGTCTGGACACAGGTGATATATCACTACATATGGCCTGGACACAAGGTGGTATATCACTACATATAGCCTGGACACAAGGTGGTATATCACTACATATGGCCTGGACACAAGGTAGTATATCACTACATATAGCCTGGACACAAGGTGGTATATCACTGCATATAGCTTGGACACAAGGTAGTATATCACTATATATGTGTAAACACTTGGTGCAAAGGCAGAACATGCAGCTCTTCTCTATGTCAGCTGCTGCATGAATTCAGTATTACTTGTCTATTTTCTCCTCCTCCTCAGACTCGCTGCTGCTGCCTTCCTTCTCTTCCACATGCCGACCTTCCTCTTGCTTCAGCGTAGCACCCTACAACACACACATGGAACCATGACTTCAGCATGGCACCTACAACACGAAAATAGAACCATGACTTCAGCGTAGCACCCTACAACACACACATGGAACCATGACTTCAGCATGGCACCTACAACACAAAAATAGAACCATGACTTCAGCGTAGCTCCCTACAACACACACATAGTACCATGGCTTCAGCATGGCACCTACAACACAAAATAGAACCATGACTTCAGCATAGCACCCTACAACACACACATGGAACCATGACTTCAGCATGGCACCTACAACACGAAAATAGAACCATGACTTCAGCGTAACACCCTACAATACACACATGGAACCTTGACTTCAGCGTAACACCCTACAACACACACATTGATCCTTGACTTCAACGTAGCATCCTACAACACACATAGAACCATGACTTCAGTGTAGCACCTACAACACACATAGAACTATGACTTCACCAAAGCACCCAACAACACACACATAGAACCATGACTTCTTCATAGCACCCAACAACACACACATAGAACCATGACTTCAGTGCAGCACCTACAACACACATAGAACTATGACTTCACCAAAGCACCCAACAACACACACATAGAACCATGACTTCTTCATAGCACCCAACAACACACACAAAGAATCATGACTTCATCATAGCACCCAACAACACACACATAGAATCATGACTTCAGTGTATCAGTCTAATAGTGATCTTGGCTTATAAAATCTGTTTGGGTCAGGAAAACAAGCTTGAAATACTCATATCACCTGCCAATATGACATGTCTGGTATCAAAAGGCACCAGTTCACCACTAGACCTATCTATGTGCCAAGTTTGGATAAGATATCTCTCATGTTTTTTTAGTTCTGCTCCAGAAACAAAATGTGATGGATGGATGGAAAGACAGAAGGATGGACAGACAGCACTCATTCCAGTATCCCCCTTCAACTTTGTGGTGGGGGATAATGACAACATTCTTATGAAACAACTTCTCAGTTGGTATTCATTTATGTGAAACATACTTCTTCTGGCTTCTACCCCCTCCACTGAAATCCTGAGTAAAAGAATTTCTGTAGAATCAGTTCCTACCTTGACAAAGTTCCCATACAGCGCCATCTTCTTCCGGGCTTTCTCAGCCCTCTTCTCTTCCTTGCTGTCAGGGGACTTCCTGCCGAGTGTCACCTCGCCATTCTGAAATACATACACTGTCACCTCAATATTGGGAAAAACACACGTGTTACCTCACCATCGTAAAACACACGTCACCTCACCATTCTGAAACACACACACTGTCACCTCACCATCGTAAAACACACGTCACCTCAACATTCTGAAACACACACACTGTCACCTCAACATTCTGAAACACACACACTGTCACCTCAATATTGGGAAAAACACAGTGGTCACCGCACCATCGCAAAACACACGTCACCTCGACATCGTGAAACACACACACTCTGAGTCACCTCACCATTCTGAAACACACACACTGTCACCTCAATATTAGGAAAAACACAGGTGTCATCGCATCATCGTGAAAGACACATGTCACCTCACCATCGTGAAACACACACACTGTCACCTCAATATTGGGAAAAAGCCCCCACCTGCCTAAAATGAAATACCTGGTCAGCCCCCACCTGCCTCAAGTTGACAAACCTGGTCAGCCCCCACCTGCCTCAAGTTGACATACCTGGTCAGCCCCCACCTGCCTCAAGTTGACATACCTGGTCAGCCCCCACCTGCCTCTAGTTGACATACCTGGTCACTCCCCACCTGCCTCAAGTTGACAAACCTGGTCACTCCCCACCTGCCTCTAGTTGACATACCTGGTCAGCCCCCACCTGCCTCTAGTTGACATACCTGGTCAGCCCCCACCTGCCTCTAGTTGACATACCTGGTCAGTCCCCACCTGCCTCTAGTTGACATACCTGGTCAGCCCCCACCTGCCTCTAGTTGACATACCTGGTCAGCCCCCACCTGCCTCAAGTTGACATACCTGGTCAGCCCCCACCTGCCTCAAGTTGACATACCTGGTCAGCCCCCACCTGCCTCTAGTTGACATACCTGGTCACTCCCCACCTGCCTCTAGTTGACAAACCTGGTCACTCCCCACCTGCCTCTAGTTGACATACCTGGTCAGCCCCCACCTGCCTCTAGTTGACATACCTGGTCAGCCCCCACCTGCCTCTAGTTGACATACCTGGTCAGTCCCCACCTGCCTCTAGTTGACATACCTGGTCAGCCCCCACCTGCCTCTAGTTGACATACCTGGTCAGCCCCCACCTGCCTCAAGTTGACATACCTGGTCAGCCCCCACCTGCCTCAAGTTGACATACCTGGTCAGCCCCCACCTGCCTCTAGTTGACATACCTGGTCAGCCCCCACCTGCCTCTAGTTGACATACCTGGTCAGCCCCCACCTGCCTCAAGTTGACATACCTGGTCAGCCCCCACCTGCCTCAAGTTGACATACCTGGTCAGCCCCCGACTGCCTCTACTTGACATACCTGGTCAGCCCCCACCTGCCTCAAGTTGACATACCTGGTCAGCCCCCACCTGCCTCTAGTTGACATACCTGGTCAGCCCCCACCTGCCTCTAGTTGACATACCTGGTCAGCCCCCACCTGCCTCTAGTTGACATACCTGGTCAGCCCCCACCTGCCTCTAGTTGACATACCTGGTCAGTCCCCACCTGCCTCTAGTTGACATACCTGGTCAGCCCCCACCTGCCTCTAGTTGACATACCTGGTCAGCCCCCACCTGCCTCAAGTTGACATACCTGGTCAGCCCCCACCTGCCTCAAGTTGACATACCTGGTCAGCCCCCACCTGCCTCTAGTTGACATACCTGGTCACTCCCCACCTGCCTCTAGTTGACAAACCTGGTCACTCCCCACCTGCCTCTAGTTGACATACCTGGTCAGCCCCCACCTGCCTCTAGTTGACATACCTGGTCAGCCCCCACCTGCCTCTAGTTGACATACCTGGTCAGTCCCCACCTGCCTCTAGTTGACATACCTGGTCAGCCCCCACCTGCCTCTAGTTGACATACCTGGTCAGCCCCCACCTGCCTCAAGTTGACATACCTGGTCAGCCCCCACCTGCCTCAAGTTGACATACCTGGTCAGCCCCCACCTGCCTCTAGTTGACATACCTGGTCAGCCCCCACCTGCCTCTAGTTGACATACCTGGTCAGCCCCCACCTGCCTCAAGTTGACATACCTGGTCAGCCCCCACCTGCCTCAAGTTGACATACCTGGTCAGCCCCCGACTGCCTCTACTTGACATACCTGGTCAGCCCCCACCTGCCTCAAGTTGACATACCTGGTCAGCCCCCACCTGCCTCTAGTTGACATACCTGGTCAGCCCCCACCTGCCTCTAGTTGACATACCTGGTCAGCCCCCACCTGCCTCTAGTTGACATACCTGGTCAGCCCCCACCTGCCTCTAGTTGACATACCTGGTCATCCCCCACCTGCCTCAAGTTGACATACCTGGTCAGCCCCCACCTGCCTCAAGTTGACATACCTGGTCAGCCCCCACCTGCCTCTAGTTGACATACCTGGTCAGCCCCCACCTGCCTCTAGTTGACATACCTGGTCAGCCCCCACCTGCCTCTAGTTGACATACCTGGTCAGCCCCCACCTGCCTCAAGTTGACATACCTGGTCATCCCCCACCTGCCTCAAGTTGACATACCTGGTCAGCCCTCACCTGCCTCTAGTTGACATACCTGGTCAGCCCCCACCTGCCTCTAGTTGACATACCTGGTCAGCCCCCACCTGCCTCTAGTTGACATACCTGGTCAGCCCCCACCTGCCTCTAGTTGACATACCTGGTCAGCCCCCACCTGCCTCTAGTTGACATACCTGGTCATCCCCCACCTGCCTCAAGTTGACATACCTGGTCAGCCCCCACCTGCCTCAAGTTGACATACCTGGTCACTCCCCACCTGCCTCTAGTTGACATACCTGGTCAGCCCCCACCTGCCTCTAGTTGACATACCTGGTCAGCCCCCACCTGCCTCTAGTTGACATACCTGGTCAGCCCCCACCTGCCTCAAGTTGACATACCTGGTCAGCCCCCACCTGCCTCAAGTTGACAAACCTGGTCAGCCCCCACCTGCCTCAAGTTGACATACCTGGTCAGCCCCCACCTGCCTCTAGTTGACATACCTGGTCACCCCCCACCTGCCTCTAGTTGACATACCTGGTCATCCCCCACCTGCCTCTAGTTGACATACCTGGTCAGCCCCACACCTGCCTCTAGTTGACATACCTGGTCAGCCCCCACCTGCCTCTAGTTGACATACCTGGTCAACCCCCACCTGCCTCTAGTTGACATACCTGGTCAACCCCCACCTGCCTCTAGTTGACATACCTGGTCAGCCCCCACCTGCCTCTAGTTGACATACCTGGTCAGCCCCCACCTGCCTCTAGTTGACATACCTGGTCAGCCCCCACCTGCCTCTAGTTGACATACCTGGTCACCCCCCCCCACCTGCCTCAAGTTGACATACCTGGTCACCCCCCCCCACCTGCCTCTAGTTGACATACCTGGTCACCCCCCCCACCTGCCTCAAGTTGACATACCTGGTCACTCCCCACCTGCCTCAAGTTGACATACCTGGTCACCCCCCCCACCTGCCTCTAGTTGACATACCTGGTCACCCCCCCCCCCACCTGCCTCTAGTTGACATACCTGGTCACTCCCCACCTGCCTCTAGTTGACAAACCTGGTCACTCCCCACCTGCCTCTAGTTGACATACCTGGTCACCCCCATCTGGCTCTAGTTGACACACCTGGTCACTCCCCCATCTGCCTCTAGTTGACACACCTGGTCACCCCCACCTGCCTCTAGTTGACATACCTGGTCAGCCCCCACCTGCCTCAAGTTGACATACCTGGTCACCCCCATCTGGCTCTAGTTGACACACCTGGTCACTCCCCCACCTGCCTCTAGTTGACACACCTGGTCAGCCCCCACCTGCCTCTAGTTGACATACCTGGTCACCCCCCCCACCTGCCTCAAGTTGACATACCTGGTCACTCCCCACCTGCCTCAAGTTGACATACCTGGTCACCCCCCCCACCTGCCTCTAGTTGACATACCTGGTCACCCCCCCCCCCACCTGCCTCTAGTTGACATACCTGGTCACTCCCCACCTGCCTCTAGTTGACAAACCTGGTCACTCCCCACCTGCCTCTAGTTGACATACCTGGTCACCCCCATCTGGCTCTAGTTGACACACCTGGTCACTCCCCCATCTGCCTCTAGTTGACACACCTGGTCACCCCCACCTGCCTCTAGTTGACATACCTGGTCAGCCCCCACCTGCCTCAAGTTGACATACCTGGTCACCCCCATCTGGCTCTAGTTGACACACCTGGTCACTCCCCCACCTGCCTCTAGTTGACACACCTGGTCAGCCCCCACCTGCCTCTAGTTGACATACCTGGTCAGCCCCCACTTTTATGGCTTTAGCTGTTTTGTTGAAGACATGATCCCACCAGTGATGAGTGAACTCTGCACCTGGGTCGTGGCCCACCTGAATAGATAGATGTCATGGACTATCTCTGGTGTGCTTGATGTTTGACGAATACGGTGTATACTTTGAAAGAATTTTGTTCCAATAACACACAGGCCTAAACAGTACACTGAAGCTATGTCACAAGTTTCATAAGAGTTTCCATTCTAAGCATCAGCAACATGAACAAAATACCAAAGTTTTACGCATACATGTGGGAATAGTTTTGATTGGTCAACTATTTGGCCACATAATTCTGTTTTCAGTGCTCTAAGGCTGATCTTAGTATTACCTTAAAGGGCAAGTTCACACGGAAATGAACCTATTTTTCTTGTACTTATTCCACATTGAAAGTGTTAACCTAGAAGTGTCATAGACAAAAATATAAAATTATCACAATTAATTAACATATTTTTTGCATTAAAACGATTTATATTTTTCACATGTACCAAGTGTTCTATTTCCATAACAAAAACACCATGGCTTATGCCCCTTGCAATATGACGTCATTGGTGCCAATTGATAAACATTATGACGTCCTCATGCTTTGTTAGAGCCGCTTCACGTGGTGTAGGTACAGGTGTGTGATTCTAGTGTCTGAGATGCCAGCCAGCATAGTGTTATGCTGAGTCACCACTGCGCCGGAGTGTGTCGTTGGCCATGTTGTTTTACCGCAAACTGGTACTTGATATCTTTTGCGTTGAGAATAGACAGGGACCTAGTTGAATTGGCACCAATTACGTCATAATCTAAGGGGGATAACTCAGGCCTGTTTAACTCGAAAAACGAAGGCCTCATAACGGCATATCATTTTCACACTATTGTGAGCTTCCTACTTTCACTGTGCAACAAATGAATGTATATTTTCAAACACAGATACTAACTAATTCTAAAATTGTGTTTTGTTTAGAAAAAGAAAGAAAGTGATTTTTGCGTTCACACTTCCCCTTTAAGAGGAGGTGTGAAGCATGTAGAACACATGTGCTTATAGTTTGTTTGGCCTCAACCCTGGTTTGTGAAAACAAATGCCTCCTTCATGCAGTACCAGTGCCCTGAGAGGTCTCCAGGTCAGAACAGGTCCCCAGTACCTCATGGTTGTCAAAAGAGCTGGCTAACTCACCCCCGTTTTGTTGTTCTTTATCTGCACCTTGATAGCCTCCGTCATCCCACTTTCCTCTCGGCCGAGGCCAGACCCTGTGCAATAGAACATCAACATTAGCTTCACACCAGTTGTTGTCTGGCTGTTATTTTTACCACTTGACAGCAGGCCAGACACAAGAGGAAACAATAATGTGCTTGGTAGGATTTCCACATAGGAATTACAGGCATGATGGAAAATGCAATTTTTTCCTGTTGTAACTGGGAACAATCCCAGGTCTCCTGTGGGCTGTACCTACATTGTAACTGGGAACAATCCCTGGTCTCCTGTGGGCTGTACCTACATTGTGATGGGGAACAATCCCTGGTCTCCTGAGGGCTGTACCTACATTGTGATGGGGAACAATCCCAGGTCTCCTGTGGGCTGTACCTACATTGTGATGGGAAACAATCCCAGGTCTCCTGTGGGCTGTACCTACATTGTGATGGGGAACAATCCCTGGTCTCCTGTGGGCTGTACCTACATTGTGATGGGGAACAATCCCTGGTCTCCTGTGGGCTGTACCTACATTGTGATGGGGAACAATCCCTGGTCTCCTGTTGGCTGTACCTACTTTGTAACTGGGAACAATCCCAGGTCTCCTGTGGGCTGTACCTACATTGTAACTGGGAACAATCCCTGGTCTCCTGTGGGCTGTACCTACTTTGTAACTGGGAACAGTCCCTGGTCTCCTGTGGGCTGTACCTACTTTGTAACTGGGAACAATCCCTGGTCTCCTGTGGGTTGTACCTACATTGTGATGGAGAACAAACTCCCAGGTCTCCTGTTGGCTGTACCTACATTGTGATGGGGAACAATCCCTGGTCTCCTGTGGGTTGTACCTACATTGTGATGGGGAACAATCCCTGGGCTCCTGTTGGCTGTACCTACATTGTGATGGGGAACAAACTCCCAGGTCTCCTGTTGGCTGTACCTACATTGTAACTGGGAACAATCCCTGGTCTCCTGTGGGCTGTACCTACATTGTGATGGGGAACAATCCCTGGTCTCCTGTGGGCTGTACCTACATTGTAACTGGGAACAATCCCTGGTCTCCTGAGGGCTGTACCTACACGGTAACTGGGAACAATCCCTGGTCTCCTGTGGGCTGTACCTACTTTGTAACTGGGAACAATCCCAGGTCTCCTGTGGGCTGTACCTTCATTGTAACTGGGAACAATCCCTGGTCTCCTATGGGTTGTACCTACATTGTAACTGGGAACAATCCCTGGTCTCCTGTGGGCTGTACCTACTTTGTAACTGGGAACAATCCCAGGTCTCCTGTGGGCTGTACCTTCATTGTAACTGGGAACAATCCCTGGTCTCCTGTGGGTTGTACCTACATTGTAACTGGGGAACAATCCCTGGTCTCCTGTGGGTTGTACCTACATTGTAACTGGGAACAATCCCCGGTCTCCTGTGGGCTGTACCTACATTGTAACTGGGAACAATCCCTGGTCTCCTGAGGGCTGTACCTACATTGTAACTGGGAACAGTCCCTGGTCTCCTGTGGGCTGTACCTACATTGTAACTGGGAACAATCCCTGGTCTCCTGTGGGCTGTACCTACATTGTAACTGGGGAACAATCCCTGGTCTCCTGAGGGCTGTACCTACATTGTAACTGGGAACAATCCCTGGTCTCCTGTGGGCTGTACCTACATTGTAACTGCGAACAATCCCTGGTCTCCTGTGGGCTGTACCTACATTGTAACTGCGAACAATCCCAGGTCTCCTGTGGGCTGTACCTACATTGTGATGGGGAACAATCCCTGGTCTCCTGTGGGCTGTACCTACATTGTGATGGGGAACAATCCCAGGTCTCTTGTGGGCTGTACCTACATTGTGATGGGGAACAATCCCTGGTCTCCTGAGGGCTGTACCTTCATTGTGATGGGGAACAATCCCAGGTCTCCTGTGGGCTGTACCTACATTGTGATGGGGAACAATCCCTGGTCTCCTGTGGGCTGTACCTACATTGTGATGGGGAACAATCCCTGGTCTCCCAGCATCAAAGCATGTTTACCTGTGACGTGAGACAATCAAGGCGGCTGGACAGACAACTTACTAGATTAAGTCTTTAAATGGTATTTAGAATTGAAACATGTAAGGAAGAGAATTTATGGATGACAACTGCTTTCTTATGAGTTGACATCCACAAATTCTCTTCCTAACATACACGATGTTGTTCTTGGTTTGTATATTCCCTATGCAGTGGCCTACTGTTCCGAGATCAGACCTTGTTGTTGCACAATAACATCACTGCACAATACATGCAAATTTCAGGGGACATTTTGACAAATGTAATACAATATCTATCTATTAATGAGTGAATTATGTCAAACGCTGTAGTCAGCAGTATTTCAGCCATATCATGGCAGGCTGTAAACAATCTGTTCTGGACCAGGCAAACCAGTGACTGACAGCATAAACAACAGTCCACATCCCAGAGCTCCAGATAAGCTGCGTATCTGCGTGAAATACGCATCAGAAATGCAGAAATACACAGTAACATATAATCCAAGCGTATCAAATATGCAACGAACATTACAGATATGCTACAAAAATAAAACTTGTGCGTATCATCAAAATATTGTGAAGTAACCCTGCATATTCGATTAGCGAATCAGCAACTTATTTTGAAATTATAAACGGGCATTCCATCAACCTTGCCAAACTCCACGATGACAGTTACATCATGATCATTTGCCATCACACTTTCTTGTGGAAGTATCGTGGTATTTTTGAGTCCTATAAAGCTCTCGAACCCACACGACACCAGTTTGCAGGGACTAGATAAATAGTGTTTTTAAATATTTAACTTAAATACCCACATGTGTAAAAACTAGTGGGTAACAGAAATTTGAATACGCAGATAGAATTACTGATACCCAATGATTTTAAAATGCATGGGTAAAATACTAACAACACCAAAAGCTTATCTGGAGCTCTGACATCCTGAGTGTATGACAAACAGTCTGCCAAGTCACCAAGTCTGACCACTATAGGTCAGATCAGGCCAACAGCTGAAACCCTGATAAAGGCTAACAAGTTTGTAACAGTGATATCATCACTTTCTCTTAAGCAAAACTGATGAAGTAGTCCACAGTGAGTGAGTGAGTTGGGTTTAACGCTGCTTTTAACAGTATTCCATTTATATCACGGCGTGTCAGCTTAATGTGGGAGGAAAGCTCGAGGTGATGCAGGTCTCAGACATTTACCACTTCGGTGAAACCCACGAGCACAGGTATGGTGCTGACAAACCTAAAAACATAATTGGGGCGAACCGGGATTCGAACCCACAATCATAGGTTCTCTGCACAGCAAATCGTGGCGCCTTAGACGACTGGGCCATCTGTGCCCCCAAGTAGTCCACAGACTAAGGGACAGTGCGCAGATAGTTCTATGTGTTTTTAAATCACGCATGAAATAATTTCCAAGTATGACTTCGCATGCCTGATTTAATTCTCAACCAAAGAAATAGTACTCCCTACAGTGAAGCCGATAACACAACGGCTGCACAGAGTAAACTGGCTTCAGTAGGCATACTAGAGGCAAATTTTAGTTAAAGATCGTGTTTGTGTTTCTTACAGATGAGTTACAAATGACTAATTGCCAGATTAAGAAGCCAGTGTTTGTCAAAGCCTGCATTACAATATAAATATGCCTCGGTCATATGAAGCCAATCACTCTCCTACCCAGAGTTCCTTACGGCCAGCCTAGTACCTAGTGTCACAGCTTCCACTCCATTAACGGATGTTTCATTGGTTTCATTGTGGACAAGTCTACACATTTAGATAAACATCGAGAAAATGTCCTAAAATGTGAAAAACTATTTTCATTTGGGTATTTCTCCGCGACATGCTGTAATCAAAGCCCAACGGAGAGCTAGCAATAGGGTCACTTTAATGTGCAAAACTATATTATCCTACACTTCATTGTCACATTTGTAGTAGGATGTCTATGTGATTATACAAAACAATATGTAAAGCGTCTCGAAAGGAGTGTATTTGGCCTGTCTGTTCTTATTTCAGACGTGTGTTTGTTTACAAACAAGAGAAAAGTCTGGTCATGTGATAAGCCTACACTCACAGAACATTCTGTAGCGGAATAAGGTGAGCAGAGCCGAGTAGGCTTGTGGGGTATCGGTTATTTTTTACAAATAAAGTTTCAGAAAGGTTGACGTCCTGTCTCGTAAAGCAATTATTGAGTTATAGGATCCATGTTGTTTAATTATTGGGAGTATGTATCTTTTGATCTTACACCCAATAATACTTTTGGCTGTAAATGGAAAATGCTTTGATGAAGTGTTTATTATATAAAATTAATAAAGTGGGACAATGCTGCATGTGCTGATGCCCATTTCCCCCTAGCATTTGGTCTAGATGTCATTAGGGAGCAACCATTTGGTTTTCAGAAGGGGTTGGCTGTAGGGCTGGGATGGGTAACTTGGGTACTCGGGTAAGGTGGGTCATGAGTAGGACCCGGGTACCCACAGGCCTACCCGGACCCGTGGTTAGTCATGTGATATATTGGTTAATGACAAAAACTCACTATAGCTCAGTGGTTACACTACAAGTTGCTAATGTTCGCAATTCTTTTCTAACAATACACACATTCCTTTTGACTTGCATATGTTTGAGTAAAGTTAATGCTTCAGTCAACTTCTGTGTACGCATGATCTGATCGTTTGATACATATTTCTAAATAGTTTTGGCCAGGGCTGCGGTAAAACAATTCCCTATCAGAGGTTTTGTTCCCATGCAACTCTTGAGACCTGCAGTCGGTACCATGGTAAGGTCGGGTAATAGGGGATCAGATACCCGGACTCATCCCCTAGTTGGCTGGGATTTTGGTTTGAAGTGAGCATTTCCTAGCTCAAATATTTTTTTCAAAATCAAGTGCTCAATTATATTTTATAAATTATAAAAATAACTAGATTTCTAACTGTATTATTTGGACATCTGTCAGCAAGAACCGGACACTTATTTTTTTCTACAAAACGAGGCATATATGCATATTTTCAGATAAACAGGGTGTTGATTATGTTCTTAGAAAAAATCCTGGGCTACCCCTGAAAATCAAATGATTGCTCCCTTCTACTACTGCAATAGATTTACAAGGTATTCTTTCGTCATACCAGATCGCTGCATCTATTATGACATTAACAGCTGGTAAACCATAACCACTGGGTGTCCGGATCGAGTCGACTATTACCGTCTGTCCATCCATGTTTTAGGAGTTGGTTACGTGCAAATGTACTGTTCGACATTCCGTACAGTAACGAGACCGATGGTCCTGTCACACGTGGGTTGTAATCAGAAAGCAAGTCCAAGGTGGATTAGCTCCCTTCCATATTCTGAATGCCTCGACAAATTTCCTCACTCGGGTCAAATCGGCATATTCCGACACTTATATTATGGGATAGAGACGGGCGCGTGACTGCCTTGTGATTGGTTGTTTTGAAAGAGGCATACCGCTTATCATAAACAAGGCATTGAACAATGGGTATAACTGAAGTTAGGAATGTGTAACATAAGTCTCCAATGTTTGGACCAGAAATGTCAGATATGAGTGATCATATTGTAAGTAACTGTCCGAATATTATTAACATAATAAATGTAAAATTGGGGTAAAAAAAAATTAGGCCAAAATTAGTTGCTACTTGTTTCCTCCCATATTAAACACTTTTTTTATACCAGCAGACCTGTAGTGGAGCAGGAAACTGAAAAAACAATTGAATTGCTTCCGAAATGTTCAAAACCTCTGCGTCACATTGAATCCATTTTGATAGGTCATATCTAAACAAGTGTTGGACTGATTTTTATGTGTAAGAATTCAGTTATCCTTTTTAGATAACCTAAGTCGCACTGAAGTTGTTCATTATATGATATGTATTAGGCTACACTACATACTGAAAGTACTCTGAAGGAAAATGGTATTCGTTGGCTATTTTTAGCCGTTTTAACGCGTACGATGCCGAAGCTGCTTTTCAGAGGTCGAAGCTTGGAGTCGGAAAACACCGGACTTTGCCGAAATAAAAGCACGCGACGCCATCTTAGATTCGTCTTGCGCGGAAGTATATGCACTGCATTAATTTGTTTCTTTATTCATTTCTACACGAGTTCAGAAGCAAGAAGATCAGGCGAGCATGAGTCAGTATATTCAAGTTACGGAGGAGGAGAACGAGGAACCTATTGAAATTCCAAGTGAAGATGATGGTACCCTGTTATTGACGACACTTTCTGCCCAGTTTCCTGGAGCATGTGGAATGAAATATCGCAATCCAGAAACCGGCGCTTATCGTGGTATCCGCCTTGTAGATGGGCGCCTGCATCCACCAGATGGTTTATGGGAATCCCACGTCTACGTTTCGGTGTTTCCAAAAGGTATGTCTTTGTCTTTAATGTGATTGCATTATATTTATTAATGTTCATGATTGCCTTCACATTTTGTTCACGGAAGCCATGCCGGCATGTCTAACAATAGAACTGTGGTGTGACTGCGGCAGCCATGAGTTTGTTGTCGCCGTCTTCACTTATTTCCAGAAAATGCAACCGATCAACTACGGCAAAGAAATGTGATAATTTCTTGTCACATATTCCAGAGACAGAACTAAAACGAAATTGCATCTGTATTACGTCTCAGCTATTAAGGTAAACAATCAACCCTGAAGCCACATCCGAAAGAGTCGCCGCTGGTGTGAAGAGTGATGAGCTTGAGATAAATAATAGTTTATGTATATTTTTCCTTTGTTTTCTCCCTGTGTTTGATGTTGACTACTGAGTATCGCATACATAATGTAATCATGGTAATAATACTAATATCCCATCAGACATTGAACATAGATTCATTTCACTCACTGTTAACTGAAGTAGTAGGCCTAATGTTCATTATGTATGCTTTTTGTTGTTGTAGAAAACAAAAGGAAGGGCGAAGAGGGCCAAGAGAACCCAGCAGCCAAGACAAAGCGAATCGAGACATCACCATGCAGCACAGATCTCATTGTCCTTGGTCTGCCATGGAAGAGTACAGAAGATGACCTAAAGAAATATTTCGCCCAGTTTGGAGAACTGCTTTTGGTGCAGGTAGTACAGTTAGTCTATCATACTTTGGGACAATTGTTTTGTAGATGTTTCAGTATGTAGCCTATCATTGTGTTAATTTGATGTACATAACTAACTTCTGTGATGGTTAGAGATGGAGCAGACATTAAGCAGTATTTTACATGGGTGATCTTACTTTACAAATCATACCATTGTATTTCGTTAAACGTTTAGGAGTCTTGTACATGTTGTAGCAAGTCTTTTTTAATCCTTCCCAAGGTTAAGCGAGACATCAAGACTGGCCAGTCCAAAGGATTTGGTTTCATTCGATTTGTGGAACACTCAGCTCAAGTGAAGTGCATGTCCCAGCGTCACATGATAGATGGCAGATGGTGCGATGTCACCATACCCAACTCAAAGGTAATTGCTTTTGTGCTTTTTGTTGTGGGTACACATGAATGTGAGCCATTCATTGTTGAGGTGTATTTTTGTGCTTAGGTTTCTATTGGGAGAGCGTGCATACAAACAAAAGCAATTAGCTCCAAATTAACATAATTTCTATTGGAGTACTGTACTACCATGACAACGTAAATAAGAGTAGGATGGTCGCTATATTATTACAGAAGGTAATTTATAATTGATCATAATGACGCATACTTACTAACACTAAATATGTCATATGTGTTTCTTGTTCTTTGTTCAACTTTTATGACATATTTAGGATTGATCAATATTGATTTTCTTTACTGAAAGCGGTAAACAAAGTACCTGTCATTAGCTACTCAGGGGCAGGCAACTCTATAGTACGGCTATTTTGTGGTGTGATAAGTGTGGATTATGTGGTTTACATCACATCCTGTTTTAGATTACGACCTAGGTTGGGTTGAGGTGTGATTCAACTACAAAATCTTTCCAGAAACTATCATAAAAAGTGAATGTATACATATTGACGAGTAGCTGTGACATACTGCAACACATCCTTATTTGATCAAGTGATGAAATATTGTGCTAAGATTTGCATAAGTAAACAGTTGACAGCGTGTGTGGATTACAAGATTTACCGATACCATGGTAATATAGAGCCCACGATATATTGTCATGCTATACATCATAGAAGTAATGTCTCCATGGGATGAAGCATATGCTGCACTGTTTTAAACGTCATTGTCAATTTTATGATTACATCATCAATAATTGTTTCTTTTAATATACAGTAGATGGGAATGTCCAAGTCTCTCATAAAAATTACTTATGAATAGTAAAGCTGGTTGTTACCATGATATTCCTCTACTTAACACACCCTACTTTCAGACTGACAAGAAGCATTTTCCTGTGGAAAATATTTGATTTGTAAACAGTGCTTAGATGCACATGAAATGTGTTCTCTTCTGCTTTTGTACATGCTCCAAGCTCTATCACTAGTTGATCTTTAACATGCACTGTGCATTGCCAGGGTTAGAACTTAACACTAGCCTGCTAATCCTGGGATAGTACAGATTCCTGTGTTTTAGTACAGATTTTCCCCATTGCCTTAACACTACAAGGGCATTTATCTCAACCCTGGCTATTAATGCTTTGAAAATGACAGGGTCTAAAGGATTTGGGAAATATTGAACCTGCAGGGTTTTTATGTGATGTACAAGTCTGCATCAAGTACACACAGGTCCAGAGAAGGGATGCAGAAAAACATTCTGCTTCTCACGTGGCGGACAAAAAATATTCATTATGCCTGCAGGGCAGCAAGAGCAGTTTATGGGTGTTTCTTCAAAACATCATCATACTTCTGTGTTTACCTTCTCAGGCATAACCTTCTGCTTGAATGGGAATACATCATTTCGTGTCAGAAGCAAATGGATTTGCTCCCAATCCTACATTGTGATTGGCTAACAACAACACACTCAAATTCTCTTAGGCCACAAATTTGTTATTTTTTGTTTCACGGGCCTGTCACCACTACTGAAAAGCATCTGGAAAAGAAATAAATTTAAACACAAAAATATTTATTTTTATTACGTCTCCCGCAAGTAATAAAGTCCCTATTTACAATAGAAATGTTCTATATAAGTGTCAGTGATTCAAGAAGCCAGCTGCAGTTTTAACTCCAAGTTAGAATGACTTTCATATAAATATATAAATGATCGACATCGCTATTGTTTTTGTTTTCAACCAACCTTTAGTGGAAAAGCTGGGATAAATCTGTGAAACGTAAAATGAAAGAATGTGTGGCCTTTTAGTTAACTTTAGTTTGGATCCCAAATCCGAATGTGCAACCTAAGGTCTTTGAATAATGGCAGTGCAATATCAGGCCATTACTCGTTAATTCTACAGACAAGCAGTATGGTACATACTGGTTTGCAAAGGTATGTCTGGTACTTATCAGTTCTGATAATAATGTTGTTGGAAGTTATCGGGAGCACTGCTATGCATATTCTGTTCTAAGCTTTTAAAAGGGGAGGCCAGGTAGTCAAGTGGTTAAAGCGATCACTTGTCAATTCCCGACATGGGTACAATGTGTGAAGCCTATTTCTGGTGTCCCCCGGAGTGATATTGCTGGAATATTGCTAAAAGTGGCATAGAACCATACTCACTAAGATTTTAGAGATTATTGATCTATTTTCTCGCTGTTCTGTCATGTTTCACCCTAGCCAGGGTTGCTGGTGACATTTCTAAAACATTCACTGGAAGGTCAAAATAAAGAAAATGGTTCTGTCTATACCAAGGGCACCATCTCATGGTTACTTACAAAGAGCATTCAAAATGATATGAAAGAATATTTTTTAAGTGAAATCACAAAGAGCTGAAGACATTATATTTTGTTTATTATGATATATAATTATATGTTTGATGTACATACTGAGTAAAAGAATGAATGTGTTTGTCATTGCAGGAAGGTGCTCAGCAGCTCATGAACAGGAAAGTCTTTGTGGGGAGATGTACAGAAAACCTGAGTGCTGAAAACTTGCGAAACTACTTTGGCAAGTTTGGTGAAGTTGTGGACGTCTTCATTCCGAAGCCTTTCAGAGCCTTTGCTTTCGTAACATTCGCTAACCCTGAGATAGCCCAGACCCTCTGTGGTGAAGACCACGTGATAGATGGGACCAGTGTCCATGTCAGCAGTGCTGCCCCCAAGAATATGGATCGCCACGGTGATCGCAAAGGTGGAGGTGGGGGGTACAACCAAGGTTTCAACCAAGGCTTTGGGAATCAGGGTGGATGGAGCCCAGGGCCTCGCCCCTCCCCTTCCCATCAAAATAATATTGGTAAGCAGAACAGTCAAAACATGGCTCAAGGGGTTGATAACCAGGTTGCTAACAACATTGGAATGAATCTTCTAAACAGCGCCATGATGGCAGCTGCCCAAGCTGTTTTAAGTGGGCAAGGTCAGTGGGGACCCCTGGGGCTGGCAGGACAGGGAGGTGGTGGGGGCGGGGGTGGGGGTGGAGGTGGAAATGGGGACACTACCCCGAATCAGAACAACAGTAATCAGACCTTTGGGAATATTGGTGGGGGTGGAGGACAGGGCGGTGGAAGCAACTTCCTAGGGTGGGGTGGTCCACATTCTGATGGGCAAAGCCACAGTCCTGCAAGTCAGGGACAGTATGGAGGATGGGGAACTCATGGCAGTGGGGGGAGGTCAGGGGGGTGGAGCTGAATGGAGTGAATGAATAGTATAGCAGTGGTCATTCAGCCTACAAACACCTGCACAGTTCTACATCCTCAATTATAATTGAAGGTGCTTCTCAAAACTGTCAACCAAACGTCCAGATTAATTGTCTGTCAGAAATTCTAAGTTTGTGCTATAATATCTTTTCGATGTGGACTAGTTTAAAGAATATATCAGCAAATGTATGTTAAGTGACTACTGCTATGCTGTTGTGTGGTGGGATGTTGGAAACACAGCAGCTGTGGTGGAAATGTGGTAGAGAAGCATGTGTGAGGCAAGCGCTGTGATGTGGAGGATGGGCAGTGCACCACATTGATAGTGAGGATGAGTTGGGAGTTTGTATGATGCTCTTATTGAACTTAAGGGGCACTGTCTTCCTGACCTGCATATAGAGTAGCAGTGCTGTGTGAGTGGTGGTTATGATGATGCACATACTGTTGCTGTTGGCTCTCAAGTTTTCTGTTTCAGATGGGTTTCCATCTTTGAACTTGTCCCCCCATTTGTGTTAATTTGAAGATCTTGAATTCTTCCTCTCACTAAATTGTCATATTCTATTACTTTAGAACATTTTCTTACCAACCAATGCAGATTTCCAGAAAATCTACAAATGTTTGCAAATAATTTTGTAAATGGATAGAAAATACTATTTTGTAGTTCCATTTCCTTGAAAAATGTATTGTAACGGAAATGCCATTGACAGGGTTCACTCTAGTAATTTTCTGACATCGGCCCTTTATGTGAAAATTCAAATATTCCCACACATGACCATACAGCACAATGTTAAAATGCCCCTCTGTATTGAAAATGTGGGCTTTTTTCTAATTTAGGGGGTAAAAGCACAAGGCCCCACCCTAGAATTATCCCTGCATTGATATTTGTAGTACTATCAGTTGCTTGTTGTTATATGGCCTTTGTAGCCGTTGCAAATCATGTTGTGTATTGTCAGTGAATTTGAAAGTTTTTGTGTGTGTGTAGCATGTTTTACTTGCTTGAAGGGAGCTTGGGGAGAGTGAGCTGTGCAAGGAGAGGATTGGGAGGCAAAGCTTAGTCCTAGACACAGCACATACATTGAAAAGCAACAGTCCTACATCTAGTGGTGAGAGTAGATCACCATGTACATACAGCTTTCTTGCAGACCGCCACCATCACAGAGTAGCATATGTCTCAGTGTAGTCCGTGTTGTTAACTGTCAAGTGTCATGTCATTTTAATGGTCATATCATTCACAAATGTCACATCTGCAGGAATGGACGTTAACATAGCTATATATACACTTTCATACTTGTCACAACATGCAGTATTCAAATTGACTAAATTTGCATTGTTTATCAATCAGCCATGTTTTGGCTTTGTAACAGTTGATAAGAAATTCTCTTTGAACTCAATTTTTACTCCATACAGATTACAGGAGATTATTGGGGAAATATCAAGTTTGCCTACATACATCATTGATTGTATTGCCTATATGATAAGAACATTTTACCTGAAAAGACCAATCTGCTTGTTTCACATTGTGTTTTTGGTAAAATTTGGTAACATTGGTCACTGAACTGTGTCAGAATATGGTTGAATGGAAGATATTGTCAACCTGGAATGAGGAATTTTGAGAGATGATGTTTTGCAGGTGATGAATGACATTTCCCAATATGATTGAGTGGAATGATATTTTAGATATGTGGAATGTGTCAAATACATTGTTTGATTTGGTTTGTTTTGAGTGACAATGCTATTGAAAGATATACACCATGGCTATGTGTTGTGTTTTGTGTTTGAGTGTTGATTGATCAAGGAACGTTAACACAGGAGCCATATTTGTTCCTGTCACAGTAACTAGCTCCTACTATTTAGAAGTCATGTGAGCAGACAAAGAATGGTGCTGTGATGGGAAAGTGATGAGCCTGACAGTTTAAGATTGTGTGGGAACAGATATGGCTGTCTGTTCGATTGCTGAAGGGAAGAAGTCTGGCTGGAGGAAGTAGCTGGAGAAGGAAGCATTGTGACCATGGTGAATGTGTCTGAGAATGGAGGCGGGTTACAGTGGATGTGTTGAGTAGTGGTTTGTGTGTACACAACCTGAAGGTGGTGGTGTCACATTTATGGAAACACATGCCATACTTCATCCCACTGAGAGGAACACTCGGTCAAACAATTTACAGTATTTCATCACCTACCACCATTATAATATTCTAGACCCAGCAGATGTTAAGTACTGGTATGAATGAATATGCATGATGGTGCCATATTAACATTCCTGGTCTGCAAAGATAGTTCTGTTGCTGAATATGTGGAATGTTTAATTGCTTGGTCAATAGACCTCTCAAACATGCACAGACCCGCAGACAAGAGTTCCTGCTGGTCTGATGAAACTTACCCTTCAATGATATTTCAATTCGAACGGCAGTCACCTGTTTTAGTTGTCAGTTGGGAAACACGATACCTACATTACCACCAACCCTCTATTGCTCACTGAGTTGTCATAGAATCCAATTGTCTTAGTTCAGGGATGGCAGTCTTTCGAGATATTCCCTATCAGGCCATTTTAAGCTATTTGTGAATCAATCATCCAGTCACCCATTTCAGACACCTGCATTTCCACAGCGTTTCCAACCATTTATGCACACCATCTGTTTCACTCTAGGACACCTAAATATTTTTTTGTTCTTTGTGATGTAAGATTGTCTTGGGGTATGATAAGGTTATCATACTATGATGCTGTGTGAACCAATGACAATTCCAAGGTTTTTTTTAAGAACGGACCTTGTTGAAGTAGCAAATACTGATATGACTGGTATGACCTCGATATCCTCCCTGAACTGAGAACAACTTCACAAACACCACCACAATCAAAGGAATGAACATTGTAACAGTAGGTGATATTTTAGAAGGTGCAGATTGATTCAAGCATGGTTCAGCCCTGCTTATAGTAGTAACACGACTTGTCAATGCACACTATACTACTTCATGTTGTGATACTTCAATGCTTCAACAGATTCTCAAACAGCACTTTACACACTCTTCGAACAAAGAAGAAATAAAACAATCTTAAAATGAGAAGACAATAGATGGATGTTTCAAGGACACAGTTTTGTGCAGATAGGGACAGTCGTTTTCTGAATTTATGGGGTTGTATCTGCAGGTATGGAATGAAGTTGCCATTATATTTTGCCTGGTGTACAGGCATCACTTCAACCAGGGGAAACTTTATTATGGTGGGTTTTTTTTATCAATTTTTGTGTGTGTTCAGTTTGAAATTTTAATCCGATATATGTTTTGAGAATTTTGACCCAAACCTGTACTGATAATGGGTACCACCTCAGCAATTTGTTTACCTGTCTTATAGTGTTAATATCCATGCAATTGTTTGCTTTTCTGACCCAACTAAATGTGCGGTACTATTTCCAGCCCTTACTGGTGCCAGAAACCATTACAGTGACTTCTACCAGTCACAAGATGGGCAAGGAGGTTACTACCAAGGAGGGCGTTACTGAGAATGGATGATGGATGGATGGATGGATGATGGATGGATGGAAGGAAGGAAGGAAGAGTAAAGCATGGATAGGTGAATGGACACGTGGTGTGACCTCCAAATCAACAGAATTTGACAGCCTTCTATTATTTTTTGCACAGACAAGGCCAACTTTGACTTTTTAACTTTTCATCAGTTTGATACTCTAAGTAGTTCAACATCCAACCAGCACTGTTCTCATTCAGGAAATTTGCAGACCCAAGGAGTTACTAGCACGTCTCAGTCACTGTATGGAGGGATTGTATCAGCAGGCATTCATGTCCCAGAGAGGTGGTTATCTCGGACGAGAGGAATCACCATAATAAAGAGTGAAGGAGTTGAAATCAAGCAATTCTAATCATTTCACATTGTTTACCAGTGATTGATCCAATATGTCACCAGAACTAGAAAACTAGACGATATTTCAATTCATTTGGACTGAAATGTTAAAGTGTTGGATACATTAAATACATTCCTCATGTCATGGAAATTGATTATGCAAGAGGTTAAGAGAGAAGTATTTGTCAGATTCCAGTCTGTTGGCTCCTAAAATTAACTTACTGTTTTTGACCAGTGAGAGTGAATGTAGGATTTTACACTGTAGTGATTGTTTCAGTGACTTGGAACAGACGAGTTCAGTATGATCCACTTCTGCCCAAGGTGTGCATTGGTTTACTTACTAAACTTGACTGGGAGTGCATTGAAGACCCATTCTACTCTGAAAGTTAGAGGTTGATACCTCGAAACTGTGCAATCCACAATACAGTTGTTAAGAAAAATGTAGCCCAGTGACCCACTAGATTGCACAACTGAATTAATTGCTTGTATCTATTTACTTACTTACTGGTTTACCTAAATTCACATATATAATTTTTGAAAATACCCAGCCCAACTTAATTTCCTCAATAACATGAACACGTTTTAACTTTTTGATCCAACTAATGGAAAAAAGGCTTCCAATTGTGATGTTAGTCCAAGTGTGAATGCAGTGATGAACATTTGGATGCTGTGAGCAGTTGTCGCCTGTGCAGCTCAACTTGGCCAATAAAAATCAAATCAAAATGTTATCTGAAAATGAAATCTTTAATCTAATTTGGAAAAGTGCCAAGAAATGCCTGTTGTCTTCAGTCTTTTGTTTGGCCGTCCTATGACTTATTAATGGTGCTTTCACCACAACTTACGTCTAATGCATAGTTATACATAGTTATGCGGGGGCATATGTCCTGCCGTGCAGAAACCTAACCATACACATAGTAAGTATTATTTATTGACACTGGTGTTGAAAAGTTGTGCTCAGAAACTGCTTTAAAATGTGATGCTTTGCATGAGTGTTGTTTACGATGATGATGTACTCTAAACGTTAAAGACATCTAATCAGACTCTGCTCTTGCATCACACAGAACACATTACACAAGTCCAATTAGCTGCCACACTATCATTAAATGATTTAACATTCATCTCATTTTGAATGTAGCTGGTGTACTGCCTGGGGACTATTGTAACTATATTACTTTTAGTCATTCCTTGACATTCGACCTGAACAAACTGGAAAAAAACCAAGCTGTCTAGTATCCTACTGCATTATTTTTCCTAGTAATTAACCGTATGGAATGGAGATGTCTAGAGTATATTTGTCTTCCCATGTCAGAAGATATCACGTTTTGTCTAATCAAGTCTCCTGCAAATTTGATATTTTTACGATATGTCTACTTTGCCACTCTATCATGGACTGTTATGGGATGAACAAAACCGTCCAAATGGCGAGCTGTATTTCTTGGGGGAATTAGTAAGCAAAGAGCCGGAGTCTAATCACAATTTTATCTACAAGAACAATTAACAATGAGCAATTTACAAAATCTTAGAATATAGCTAGGGTTGCCACAGAGAGTCGGTACAACCCTCTGGGCTGTGGGAGAGAGGTCTGCTTGGTATGAGAGTCAAACCCCCTTCTCTGCCCTAACATGTGGTTTCTGTATGTATTTAGCAAAAATTAGAACAATAAAATGGAATATGATTGGTTGATACACGATGGGTTGCCCTATGCTAAATGAATGGCTAGACAGAGGGGAATACTTAATCCTGTTAATCCTGTTGGACTGGCACTTATCTTGTTGACATATTTACTGGATGCTTGGAAAGAGATTATGGTGTCACTATAGACGAGCTTGTATGGGGGCTAATCCTTAATGCACTATAGACGAGCTTGTATGGGGGCTAATCCTTAATGCACTATAGTCGAACTTGTATGGGGGCTAACCGTTAATGCCCTATAGACGAGCTTGTATAGGGGCTAATCCTTAATGCACTATAGACGAACTTGTATGGGGGCTAATCCTTAATGAGTCTAAATTGAAGTAATTGCTGAATGTTATTCTAATATAGGTGATGACAGATTTACTTAAATAAAATAGTTAAAGGTAATCTATAAGACTATGTAGACATATCGTTTGTTTTGGAGATGGGATCTTGATACCTTAGGCTAGTATTTATCTAAAAGCTTCAAATCTATTAAACTATGTAGACATAACTCTTGTCTTTTTGAATAGTATGTCTAGGAGATGCGCTCCCATTACCTTAGGCTAGCATCTATCTAAAAAGCTATAACTGAAACTACTGATATTGTATATATGCATTTTACCTGACGATAAGTATTACTTGCTAAACTATAATTATATGAAATGATGTATAAATATTACACCATGATAACTCATAAAAGCACTTGATGTGGATCTAATTATTATAGGAAAACTTAGTATAAATGTTATATCATGATAACTCACTAGAAAAGATATGTCACATGCATTTTGTGGCATGGTTTTGGCTTCTTACTCAGAAAACCATACTCTCATTGAGGCAAACTGAAAATTCCGTCATAATAGTGTGATTTCTGACCCGTGAAGATCCGGGGTAGAATGGGTCTTCAGCAACCCATGCTTGCTGTGAAAGGCGACACCTTGTCGCAAGAGGCGACTTACAGGATTGGGTGGTCAGACTCGCTGACTTGGTTGATGCATGTCAACGTATTCCAAGTGCGTGGATCGATGATCATGATATTAGGTATGATATCACTCATGATATCACTGGGTTGTCTGGTCCAGACTCGATTATTTACAGACCGCCGTCATATTGCTGATATATTGCTGAGTGCGGCGTTATACAACAAATAAACAAAACTTGGAAATACCTGCCAGTGAAGCAGACGGAAAGAAATTTGAGTGAGATGCCAATTTTACTTCACATAAA